ATTTACCAACTTGTTGTATAGACTGGTTATCTCAATGCTTTCTTCATTGAATCCCTCAAAATCAAGCTCTGTTTTGTTTTTCCCCTTGCCAGTGGCCATCTTGAATGTTCTTCTCTGCACTGTAAACACTAGGGCAACTTTTTCTCATCCGATTTTTCACTTCCCTTAGCACTTTCCTGTTATCTCACCTATTTTTCAAGAGCACTATACCTTTATGTTCTCTGGGACACCACTCACTACCATCAACCTGTACTACAATACTTAGGATTGTTGAAATATGCTGGAGCTCCTCTGCTGCAAGTGTTGACCCTAGGGGTGTCACCTTTTGAATCAAGATAATAATATCAAGATAATAATCAAGAGTGTGTAATACAGTGTGTTACTGTGTAAATAGTGTGTAAAACTGTACATATTGTAATTTTAGTGAATTTTTAACAAGTAATATTGTGACAAACATTTATTGTGGACACATTACCAACACTTATCACAGTTCCATGGAGCATTATGAACGTTCTACTGTATACACATTGCAAAGGACACAAATATGCATCATATATGATAAAAAAAAATAAAAAAACGCTTTGGAAACACATAGAACAAATAATTGAAAATATATTTGTCGCAACACCCAATGCGTGAATGGCCCACGTGACCGTGTCTGGGCATGTCACGCACAGGCGACCAGCCCCTGATGACATCACAGCACACCTTGTCCACGTCCCCACAGCCAAAGTAAGTGGAATTTGGTATTTATTTTTACACAGACATGTTCAGGGAAGGGAATTTATCATTTTACAAAGAAAAAAGAATTTTTTGGGAACACTTGATTTCATGCATACAGGGGGAATTTCACAATATACTTGGAACACCACAGTAGTTAAGCTGCGCAAAACGTCATATGAAGTCGGACATAGAGCTCAGTTTTTTTTTTATTTTTCCTGAAGATGTCACATTGCTGATAACAAGTCGAATAAAATAATGGAAGATTAAGTGATCTAATGTTTCTTCATCATGCAGATGGTAGAAGGTACAGTGGTACCTCAGCTTACGAATTTAATCCGTTCCCATAGACTGTTTGTAATCTGAAAATTCGTAAACCGAAGCAAATTTTCACATAAATAAAGAAAATTTAATTAATCTATTCCACACACTCAAAAATATTAACTTCAAAATAAATTTTATACCTAATTCACCCAAATCTTTAGTACTAAAGTATGTACAAGTTATTGCTTACCTTTATTGATAACTCTTGTTGGCTTATGGAAGACGGTGAGGAGGGGGGGGGGGGGAGGAGAGGTGTTAGTGTTTGGAAGGAGAGTCCCCTTCCATTATAACATCAGGCAGTGATGATTTCTCTCTTCTACGTTTTGCAGGAGTACCACCAGGACTTGGTTGTGGCTCACTGCTTGCATGTCTTACTAAGAATCTGTCTATAGACACTTGTTTTTCCTTACATTTGAACACTCATCTGTAGTGAGACATCACTGTCATTTTAAAGGTCAATGTAATGGCCTGTTACAGCTTTATCTGGGGGAGTTTTTTCAACAAAACTTTGCAGTTCTTTCCTATACTTCACACATTTTCTTAATGAGGATGGGACATCCTCTATTCAACTATTTCCTTTGGTTGAACCTTACCACTGACTTTCTTGGGATCCATGGCAAGATATATAATACAATAATTACTTTTATGTTCAAATACCTAAAAATCCAAAAAACACTGAAATTCTTTACAAAGCATTCAGGCACGATTGTCACTAGGTGGGAGGCACTGGTAAACTGAGGCACAGTCGCCGTACTGCCACTCGCTAGGTCGGTCATACTCTTATCGACAAACTATATTACCCGAGGCAAAGTTCGTAATGTAATGGTATGTGCAGACCATTAGCTCCTTCCCCCTTCCCCTCGCTTGCCTCCCCTCCCTTGTTCATCCCTCCCATGTGTCAGTCCGACCCTCTGGTCTTTTCCCCGTCCCTGCTGGCCGGTTCCCATCATAACCAGAGTCAAATTACCCCTTAGGCAGATGGTCAAGTCACTTGTTCCCCCAATCCTTATGTTTCCAATCCCTCCAAATCATTTGTCTCCCAGTCCTTTCCAATCCGTTTCCCCTCTCCTCCTGCCTTCGCCACTAACCATTTGACAGGTTTAGACCAGTGACGAATTACCGTAATTCTCAAGTTTCGAGTGAGGGAGCTGGGAGCCATATACGGCTGTGGTTTCCTGTGTAGCGTGGGATCAGTTCATGATTCTATGGGAGTAAAACATAACTTTCAGGACAGGCCTATGTCCAAGAAGCCTAGGGGGGCAGAGCTAAGTCAGAGTTTTGGTTGGCCTAAGAGTGAGGGGGGGAGGGGGGGGGGGGGGTTTAAAGGGTCGTTACAGTAACCCGATTCACATTTCACAAAGAAATTGGGCTGTTAACCCGAAAGGGTCATAAAGAGGGGCATTCATAAAGAGAGGCAAGAGTCACACTGCAGCAGGCTCCAGGAAAAATCCAATTGCCTAAGACACTACACACTTACTTAATAGATATATTACAGGAAAGAGATGGTTGGGTTGACTGCATCTATCTAGACCTAAAAGAGACTTTTGACAGAGTTCCACATAAGAGGTTGTTCTGGAAACTGGAAAATATTGGAGGGGTGACAGGTAAGCTTCTAACATGGATGAAAAATCTTCTGACTGATAGAAAAATGAGGGCAGTAATCAGAGGCAATGTATTGGAATGGAGAAATGTCACAAGTGGCATACCACAGGGTTCAGTTCTTGCACCAGTGATGTTTATTGTCTACATAAATGATCTACCAGTTGGTATACAGAATTATATGAACATGTTTGCTGATGATGCTAAGATAATAGGAAGGATAAGAAACTTAGATGATTGTCATGCCCTTCAAGATGACCTGGACAAAATAAGTATATGGAGCACCACTTGGCAAATGGAATTTAATGTTAATAAATGCCATGTTATGGAATGTGGAATAGGAGAACATAGACCCCACACAACCTATATATTATGTGAGAAATCTTTAAAGAATTCTGATAAAGAAAGATCTAGGGGTTATCTTATCTTGAGATGATTTCGGGGCTTTTTAGTGTCCCCGCGGCCCGGTCCTCGACCAGGCCTCCACCCCCAGGAAGCAGCCCGTGACAGCTGACTAACACCCAGGTACCTATTTTACTGCTAGGTAACAGGGGCATAGGGTGAAAGAAACTCTGCCCATTGTTTCTCGCCGGCGCCCGGGACTGAACTCGGGACCACAGGATCACAAGTCCAGCGTGCTGTCTGCTCAGCCGACCGGCTCCGGGGTGGTTCTAGATAGAAAACTATCACCTGAGGACCACATAAAGAATATTGTGCGAGGAGCCTATGCTACACTTTCTAACTTCAGAATTGCTTTTAAATACATAGATGGCAATATACTAAAGAAATTGTTCACGGCTTTTGTTAGGCCAAAGCTAGAATATGCAGCGGTTGTGTGGTGCCCATATCTTAAGAAGCACATCAATATACTGGAAAAGGTGCAAAGACATGCTACTAAGTGGCTCCCAGAACTGAAGGGCAAGAGCTACGAAGAGAGGTTAGAGGCATTAAATATGCCAAAACTAGAAGACAGAAGAAAAAGAAGTGATATGATCACTACATACAAAATAGTAACAGGAATTGATAAAATCAATAGGGAAGATTTCCTGAGACCTGGAACTTTAAGAACAAGAGGTCATAGATATAAACTAGCTAAACACAGATGCCAAAGAAATATAAGAAAATTCACTTTCGCAAACAGAGTAGTAGACGGTTGGAACAAGTTAGGTGAGAAGGTGGTGGAGGCCAAGACCGTCAGTAGTTTCAAAGCGTTATATGACAAAGAGTGCTGGGAAGACGGGACACCACGAGCGTAGCTCTCATCCTGTAACTACACTTAGGTAATTACACACACACACCCACCCCCCTCTGTGTAGAAACACTGCCACAAGGGCTAAAAACAGCAAAGAAAATGGGAAACTTGAGCCAGAGCGACATGACCGCTAGGCACAACATCAGTATAGGACTGAACTTTGAGCGGCCCGGCTGACCCAGGTTGGCTGGCTCCTTTTCCCCAGGCGTGGGGGGAAGGTGGAAGCAAACTAGCGGAATACTAGTTTCACAAAATTTTGTTTTCATTGTGGGGGAGTTCTTTTGGCAATTTTGAGGCAGTCATCTAGAGCGTGCACCTGGGAACACCCCAACACATAGGTTCGAATCCTCATCACGGCTCCTACAGATTTTCTCATTAATGCAGTCAGGTTAGTGTGATTACTCTTTGTCTTGAAAGAGGAGCATCAGAGGTAGAACACAGAGCCAGAGTGAATGGGTGGAATGTGTGAAACCTTGGTTCGGCTTCAGTAGAAGCCTCAAAGATACCTCATGGGTACAGTAATACCCCAGGTTGCAATCCTTTTGAGCATGTCATGGTCTAGTCGTCTAGACTCTCTAGAGCATGTGCCTGGGAACACCCAGCACATAGGTTCGAATCCTCATCACAGTTCCTACGTATTCTCTCTTCGAGGCCGAGGTTTAGTTTTAACTATGCAGTAGTTTGTTTTGATTTGCCTTTCTTTCTGGGTGCCTTCCCTTGGATAATGGCAAAGATGATACACATTAAATGTAAATTGTTCATTGGCACCTTACTCATAGGCTCCTTGCACCTCTATTGCACCTCTAGGGGGACCAGGTTCTGGCTCACAATCCCCAGTAGGCCAATAGAACTCCGCGACTGATGACACCAAGTAGTACGGCAGTGAATTAGTGTGATAAGCTTCAGGAGGCCAACGGGGCTCCCCACATAATATCAAGATTTCAAAGTGCATCTATGCAGAATCAGTTCACTTCATCCATCAAAGTTTCAGAGAAAAAATTTTTGTATACTGTAACCACCATGGTATTAAGAATTAATATATAGAAGTCAAAAAGCACATTTCAAAAATAATCTTCATATACATAAAAGGCTAAAAGGAACATACTTTTGGTAACTTGTAGTAAGTCTTGTCACAAGGAGTAACAAGTGTTAAGCTGAGCATGTTTCCTGCATCACGAATGAGGCCAACAACCTCATCGTGTGGCATCCACTTCACATCACGATTACCAATGCAAACCACTAAATCGCCCTCATTTACACCAGCCCTCTGTAGGATATAGGCAAGTCTCAGTACACTGACATTATATTATTGCAAAAGATATAAAAAGATACAATATACATACTGTTGAATAGTGTAGTATATAAAATAGTTACTCTTTCAATATTCAATATATTATTGTCATTATTACCTAATTACTCATTTTTATTTGGTGGGAAGACATCAGCTGTGAAGAAATAAGACAGCAATATAGGAGATGATGATTTATGACTGATAAACTTCCCCCTTCATTTGCCATATCAATATTCTGCAGTATCACACAAAATCAGCATCATCACACAAAAAAGCAAACCATCCATAGCAGAACCCGACCACTTCATACAATCAGATGTTAAGTGCTACCTGTGATTTTCTAATTCAAACAAAATTACCTACTATTACTCGGTTTAACCCTTAAACTACTGTGACACGTCATATGACATGTTAGAGTACTATGCAAGATTTAAACGGCCAACGGATACACGGGGTTCACCTCACCATCTTGTAAAGGGTTCTTGTAAATAGACGCCATTTATAAAAAAAAATTGTGGGCAACATTCCCGGGTGTGAGGGCTTCAGTACAGAGTGAGCCACCAAGGCTAGTGCTACAGCATGAGCTCACAGCCCTGCTGTTCAGCTTGTGACCACAGCATCACCTAAAAATGTCAAAATACATAAGTACATGCTATTATTTAGCAATGATAGTATTACAGAAGACCACTGACTGATAAAAATGACCAGGATTCTGATAATAGCAGGATTGTTGTGATAATTAGTGCTGTAGTGGGAGGAGTAATCTTGGTGGGGAGGGAGGTAGCGTTGTCTGCTGACTGTGTGTGAACACCTTTTACTGTCTGGACTCACTATACCAGCTTAGTGGTTCACTATGGTGAACAAAACATGTAGGTACTTATATATAATGTCTGTATATAGTGAATAAAAGCAAAAACAGTATGGTGGGAGGAGAATGTTGGGGAGTCGCGTGAGGTGAGGGGGAGAGAGAGTGGCAGCCAGTGCCGGGCTGCCTGTGCCACTGCCACTCAGCGTATCAACTTAGTGGTTCGTTATGGTGAACACAAATGTAGATACTTGTATATAACATGTATATATAGTGTATTAACAGCAAAAGGAGTGTTGGGAGAAGCCATTTTGGTGAGGAAGGTGGCAACATCTGTATGTAAATGCAGATGTTGCCACCTATGCCAATGCCAAAATGCCAAAACGCTGCTGAATTTTAAACTCCAGCTCGATAAAATCATCAGGACAAATGTGGGGAAACCTCTGACAAGTCGACAGCTTCCTGCCCTTGTTGAAGCCACTAGAGAGATAGTGGCCCTCAGGTAAATTCAGGTATTGTATAATATTTAAAGGCTTGGCCCTAAAATGCAATTAGGATTCTAAAATCAGTTCTCCCAATGAAAATATTTTCATCATGTAAAATAATTACAATAAATTGAACCCAAACGTCTTTTTTCTAATGCAATATTAGATACTGTATTGGTGCAAATAACATGCACAAGATATTTATCCCAATATCTTGTGCACGACATTAAGTGTCAAACTTGCTCCATTTGCAGCTACTTACAGTATTCGAAATCATTTATGATTTAGTCAGATATAAAATGAGGGCACTGAGAACAACTCGACAATATTCATGGGTCTTACCTCAGCCAGGCTTCCTCTGTCAACACCAGCTATTACCACAGGGGCATCCCCTCTCACTGAAAAGCCAAAACCTTGAGTGACAGTTCGCGTTATCGAGATGGGCCGCGGTGCTGACCATTGGTGCTTCGCAGAAAAAACAGCCACTGGCCCCAATAGCTTAAATACGTCCTCTACACGATGTTGTGAGAAGTCCGGAGCAGTCAGAGATAACTGAATCTTTGTTGCAGCTGTAAAATCAAATTGTTGTACTTCTCTTAACCAATTTAAAAAAAAGAAATACCTTATCTAATATAATTCTCTCACATTTCTCATCCTAAGCAAGACAATCTGTTTTGCTGTTTTGTGAATAGCAAATACTGTATTGTTATTATTGTTACCTCTAAATTTACAGAATCTAAAATAATGTAGGCTATGCCTTTCATCATTATGTATCACTTTAAAAACCAGTGCTGAATGTAATGAAACACCATTTTCTGGGTAGAGCCCCCAAGGCTTCTCAAAGCTATTGGACCAATATTAGTTAATATTAATACGGGGCTACTTCAGTCATATGGAGTTGTCATGCCTACCGGGGACCACTAGCCAGAACATGGTCCACTCAGAAAGGCAAAGGAACTAATGGCCTATGAAACTTACATGCATGAAAGTATTCACGTCTAACATCGATTGGGGATGAGCAATAAGAAAGGTAGGCGCTGCAAAACAGACCCCCTCCTGGTACAAATATTGCAACCTAAGACTGAACAAAGGCTAGAAACCCCTTTACCCACCCCCCCTCTCCCAAGAAAAACAAGCAAACAAGCAACATGCCATCACCGCTTGCCACTCGTTCACACCGACCCCAAGGGAGGGAAGATGGGGGTCCCAGCCACCTGGGTAGTGCCCCATCTTCTGGGGCACTATCCAGAAAATGGCATTTCATTACATTCAATACTAATTTTCTATGGGGAAGCCCCGTCAACTCCATGGAACTAACTACCCAAAGAGAAATTATAAGGGACTTCCCTGGGGAGGCAGCTGCATCGCACAACTAATAACGAAGACGAGACAACTGGCTGCAACCGCCAACCCAAGGCGACAAGACTGCCGAGGGTCTGGCACATTAACAAGTTATCAGGCAGCCAGGACCCTGTTGCGATCTCCAAAACCCCAGTGCCTGAATGTCCGCCCTAGACATATTGCCAAACACAGCAGCCAAAGCTGCGAACTTATGAACATCATGGGCATGAGGGTAGACCACAGGCTGGTTAGACTTGACAACCCTGCGGACGACCTGAGGGACCCTGAGCCCTGTAACAGGGAACCAGAGAAACCGGGGGTCAACCATGCCCCCGGACACAGAAGCCAAGGTGCACAGAAAACAGCATAAAGCCACAACTAGGCAACACATGATGCCCCCCACGGCCTGACTAACCAAGAATCAATAACCCATGGACCCCTCCAAAACCCGCCATCTCGTTCTTCGCCAGAAAAGGAGGAGACCACTGCAAATGAACAAAACCTCCACCCGAACCAAAATAACAAAAGCCTCTGTGCTGAAGGAGAGCTTGAAGCTCCCCGACCCAACCCCCCCGAAGCCAAAGCCAACGAGAAAGCTTTCTGGAAACAACTTTGGACCGAAGGGGCCACCACAAACCTAGGAGAAAGAAAGGCACCCAGTTCAAAGACCAGAACAGCTCAGGCGGTGCATGAGCAGTCTGGAGATGGAAAAAGACACGAGAAAGCTTGCGAAATGGAGCCTAAGTGACATCCACCCCGAACGCAAGCTAGAGCGTCTCCACCAACACCGCATGATGCGAGGCGATAGTATTCAGCATAAGATGCCTGTTTTGAAAGAGCCAAGAAAGAAAAAGCAACATAACACAATCCAAGACCTAAGAATACCTACGTATGGAAAGGAAATGGCAAAAACACCGCCAAGAGACTTCATACTGTGTTATGACCCCCCCCCCCCATGTAGCCTGGGTGGAACGAGTCTACCCAGGGAGGGTTATTCTGCTTTCCGGACCTGAGATTAACCCTTAAGCTGCTAAGGGGTCCCAAGGACATTTACACCCGTGTGCAAAATATTTTTTTTTGTCTTCTAAAAATGTAGATTTTTGTTCCCTGAGCACGGGAAAAACAAAAAATCGTAGGCGACACATTTTGGCCACAATAAACCGAGGAAGTCTGGCAAAATGCGAGTATTGACAGAGCGGTCATCAGAGGCAGTCAGTGTCACCCAAGCTGTCAGGTAGGAGTTGCCACAAAGATATTATTACCTAATTATTTTAATGTCCTTGATTTTTTCTTAGTTTTTTTGCAGTAATATTATTCAATAGTGTGTAGTGTGATAGATTTATATAATAAAAGGGGTAAATCATTGCTATACTCAAAAGAATGGTGTGCATATTAGTGATTCAATTATTATGGTCATAAAACAAACAAAGTTTTGCTGTTATTAAACTCAATACATAGGTTATATTTAAGTATCTGCATATTTTGTTCACTATAACGATCCTCTAAGTTGGTATTATGAGTCAAAAAGCAACGAGGAGTGACTGCCACACGCCAGTCAGCGACTCGCTGCCACTTCCTCCATCAACAACATCTCACTCACCCACATTCTCCTCCCACCATACTGTTTTTTATTTTATTCACAATATACAGACATTATATATAAGTATCTACATGTTTTGCTCACCACTACTGTACAACTAAACTGATATATTTAGTTCAGACACTAAGAGACGTTGCTATACACACAGTCGGCTGGTGGCTGCCTCCCTCACTCATTCAAGGTCAGATGCACTAAAAATTTCTTCCCCAACAATACTGTTTGTAGTGTTATTACACTATATACACACATTATATATAAGTACTGTAACCAAGCGATTATCCGGGATTCGAGCATCCGGAAAACGCCCTTATACGGCCAAAATCGTGACCGGATAAAGTTCTCAATATCCGGCCAAAATGGCCATGGGAGCCGGATAAAAGCTAGTTTAGCCAGATAAAAAATTGGAGCCGGTTAACTTGCTGCCGATGTTACACTATCTGGACAGTCAGCCGGATAATCATTGAATTGTCAGGATATGAAAGTCATGGGGCGGGCCGTACCGTATTAATCCCGCCTGCCTGTGGCTCGAGACGCATGGTGGAGGAGGGGGTGGGGTGGGTGGGTGGTGTCAAGAGGGTGGGAGGGGAGCGTTGGGAGGGACCACCTGGGTACAGGAATTACCATTAATTTTAGAACAATTCATGACAGCCAAAAAAATGAAGTGCTAGTAATTATGTAATTACTAGCACTTACTTCATTTTTTCAACACTGGTCAACCCATGTGTTCCCATCCCTCGTGTTAAACCAGAGTGCTGTGCCATTAGTGAAATATTCTTTTAAATAACTTTTTTATTTTCATAGTAACTTTGAACATTTTTGGCCAATACTATGTCTGGTAGCAGCATCAATCGTTCTGGAAGTGTTAAGAGGAAGAAGGTTGTCCTAGCAATTAAAGACAAGTTACGTGTTATACACCTCAACCAATGAGGCGTCACAGGCAAGTCAAATAAATGCCTTCAACAAGTGAGGTGCCACAGACAAGCCAAGCGCCGCAACCTTCAACAAGTGAGGCGCAAGCAAGCGCTTTCAACAAGTGAGGCGTCACAGGCAAGCCAAGCGCCTTCAACAAGTGAGGCTTCAGCAGCTAGCAGTTAAAACTAACTTTCCTTAATGAACTGTACAGTAATTTTAAGTGTTAATTTTAGTATTAGTATAAGTGTTAGTATAGGTTAGTATAGGTTACGTAAATTGTTAAGAATTCTTAACGTCAAGATGTGTGGCATAAATCAAGAAGACAAACACCAACAAGGTAAGTTGAGGTTTCTAGTTGAATATTTAATAATTATATGTGGCAAGGCAATTCAAATTATGTTGTTTGTAGTATAAAAATAGTTGGAAATGGTCACTTTTGGACTCTTAGGTGAAAAAGTACCATTATCCGGAACACGTGATAATCATGTGTTCCTGATAACTATGCCACTATGTTCATTGGGCACATGGGTGCCCAATGAGCATAGTGGCCACCCTCTACACAGCTAGACAAGTCATGCAGACGATGCCACCTCTGTCACCCAAATGGCTCCTCCCAATAATCCTTTTGCTGTTATTACACTAATACACACATTATATATAAGTATCTACATTTGTGTTCACCATAGAGAACCACTGAGCTGGTATGGTGAATGCAGACAATAACAGGTGGCCACACAATCAGTAAACGATGCTACCTCCCTCCCTCCCTCAGCATAACTCCTCCCACACAGTGCTAATTATCAGAACTATCCTGCTATTATCACAATCCTGGTCATTTTTATCACAGTCAGGGGTCATCTGTAATACTGCCATCACTAAATAATAGCAGTTACATATTTATTTTGACATTTTTAGGTGATGCTGTGGTCACAAGCTGAACAGCAATGCTGTTAGCGCATGCTGCATGCACCAGCCTTGGTTGCTCCCACAGTACTGTACTGTGTCTCTCACACCGGAGAATGTTGCCCATGATTTTTTTAAACATGGTGTCTGTTTGCAAGAGCCCTGAGGAAGCTGATGTGAATCCTGTCTAGCCGCAGACCATTTCAATCATGTCCGGCACTCAATGTCGTACATATACACAATGCACACGGTGAGACATATTACTCAGGGCGTATATATATATGCCATACGCAGTTTAAGGGTTAAGAGCTTAGAAAAAGAAAATATATAATAAACATCAGCGAATAATTTAACACCATCGCCCACTTTGGACACCGCTCACGTCCACTTTTTTCTCTCGAGTCCTAGCCGTGGACTGTGCTCGCATCCAATACAAAATATACTTTTATAAAATTCATTTTTTATCCAATCGACTTGGGGAAAGTTTCAAAATGAGCGCCTTTAGAGTGTGCACAATTTGATATCAAAATGAAAGATGTAACACAAAACTTGATGTCAGAACACTTTAAAGATTATAAATACAATTTTGGTCAAAATTTTAAAATATTTGTTAAAACTCTATTTATTGTGCTATTATTATGGGACTAGTTTTAAAATGTGTGCCTTTAGATTGCAAACAATTTGATGCCAAAATGAAAGATGTAACACAAAAATTTATGTCAGAACACTGGAAAGATATAAATAATTTTATGATGATGAGCATCCAAAATTAAAATACTTGTTAAAATTCTATTTATTGCTCTATTATTATGA